TGTTTATTGATAATCTGCCAAATTCTGTTAACATTTGCTTACTAATTTAAAAGTTATAGCATGAAAACTATAACAACCACACAATGGTTACGAGGTCGGTCCTAGGGACCGATCCCGTGCTGAAAGAGTTAAGTTGTAAATAGGTAATTTTGTTTAAAGTTTGCAAAGGCTATTTGTTCCAGAAGATTTTACATTACCAAATTTTATAACAGTAGCTGGTGTCCAATTTTGGAAATAAATTCTCAGAAGATGATAGTGTTAAAATTTCATCTTGATTGGTTGGTAATTAAAATTATTAATGTGACAGAGAGGTATTTTGAGTAAGTTTTTCATTTTTATCATGATTTGGTATTTTATACCATTCTGTACCAGTGGAGTCCACATGTCATGTCATCATGTCATTTTATGTTTTTGCTTGTTACAACATTCAATGTAAATGAACTGACAAAAACATTGGGTGAAATTTTTTCTGTAAGATACATAGGGAATCCCAACAATATGTAGTTGGATTAACTGCAATATTTATAGTATTTTTGTTTACATTTCTTTTGTGTTCTGGCTGTTACGATGAACCTTGTAAACAGTAAAGTCATGATCCACTGAGTAATTTGGTGCATAAATGATTTATAAGTGTTCAAAAATCTGATGTGATATATTGAACTGCATTATAAATTTTAAGGTTAACTGTTCAATACAAATAAATGAATGAAAAAGAAATGGCTTATATAAATAGTGTTCCAGCCACTGCTGTGTTTGTTCTATCCCAGCCAGTCTGAATAGCTCTGAATTTAGAGAAAAACATCATTGGTAGTGGGTATGACAAATATACTCTTGTTATTCAATCATACTTCTTGAAAATCCCTAAGAAACTAAATAAGAATGTATTGTTTAAAAATATAATAAGCCTAATACTAATATCTTATGAAAAGTATAATTGTAATTATTGAATTGTAGAAATATTATATTTATTCACAGATTCTTTATAAATGTTTCTGGTTGACATTTTAACTATAAGATATTTATGTTTTTCATGAACAGACTTTTATTTTGTTTTTATGCAGAGTCGAGGCCTACACCTTGTGGAATGCTTAACCTTCCTCTTCCAGCTCAGCTTTTTAACTCTTGGAAAAGTAAGCAGAACTAATTTATTTTTAATGTAAATATAAAAAGTTTTTATAATGTGTTTTCCACATGTAAAAAAAAAACTGTTCCTTGGGTAAAAAAGTTTTCAGTTTTGGAAAAACATATTCAATGTTTAACGTGAAGAAACAAAATCAACACAAATATGGACCCTCAGGTTTTTTGTAATAGATAAGCATTTCCACAGAAAGGAAAATAATTAAAAGTTATTCTTTAAATTTGGAAGTTGGCCAAGCAAACCATGAAGGTTTCTGTAGCTTAAGATGAATGTAAAGAATTTTGAATCCATATAGCTTCACGATGTTGAAATTAAAAACCAGGCAAATGGTATAGCATGAAATATTTTGTAATATCTTTTCACAAGCTAACAAGATCTTCTCTTTACTTAAGATTATAGAAGTACCGAAACATATGAAGCCCAGTGAAATTGTTTTAAATATAAAATTCTGGACATAAAATCTTTTTTGGAGAGGCAAGGTTTTTGTTTTAAATATCATGATTGATTTTTTTTAATCTTAAAGCAATAAAGTAAGAATCTCAAATCTTGTTTTAAATATTTAAATATATCCATGCCTTCATTCATAGTAATATATATCCTCAGCCAAAGGGGCCAAATGCTGATCAGTGTTAGCATTCCTGACTGTAGATTTTGGTTTGTTCACCAATACCAGCAAAAAATTAAAATCCTGCTCTTTGCTTTGGAGTCTTGGGTGCATTATAACGTCTCTTTCAAATCCAGCTATTAATTTAGATTAACCTTTGAGTTGGATGTGGGTAGTATTGATCACTTGCCTTCCTTGTAGTCCATCACCTCAAAATTAGAGGCAGCTAGTGCAGATAGTCCTTGAGTAGCTTTGCATAAAATTCAACAAAAAAAACAATCCTCAACCAAGTTATTTTTAAGGATTTCTTTAATTGGTCTGATTAGTAAAGATGTTTATTAACCATACCAGTATCCATTTTACTGGTTTGAATTATCTGCAATTAGTAAAACGTTTTTAATTTTATTTGTGAGAATCTTTGACTGAAAAAATTTACGTTTAGAAAATGTTGTGGAGTTCTCTTATACATGTAAATTCTTGTGCTACAGTTAAAAACTTTGAATTTTAATAAATATAGTATTTAACAAATAAACAGAAATATGATTTTACATTGATAATATGTTACTGCAAGTTATGTTTTTGATTATTTGGCAGTGAGTGTTAAACTTTTTGTTCGTGTAAGTAAGTTTTCAACAGATTTTACTGAAGTTAACTGAGGTATCTTTGACATTAGATTTATTATCTAAGTTTCTTTTTTTTTACAACTATACAGGATTACAGCACAGAAGGGATGACTGAATCTCTGCTGATTTTTCTACAGCACTTGAGAGAAGTTGGATTAGTTTATCAGAGAAAGGTAAGGCTGTTATATTATTTGAGAAAAAATAATTATTATTGTTATTATTATTATTTGAGAAAAAA